ACGCGAGACTCGAGATTGGCGTGAATTAATATAGCCGGTAATTAACGCCGTCGGTAGCTAATACCTGTGTAAATTATTTGTCTTAACCGTTCTGAGACTAACCTCCGTGTTAACATAACTTGGATCGAGTTCCGTGCTAATTAATACACAAAGGATATATAGGAAATAATCTCGTTGGACGAATCAAGCAGACTTTTCCGAAACTTCGCGACAGATTGTACTTGGGGGACTCTCGAAAAACCTCACAATTTCCGTAGACGTTCGTCAACCCTTCGCGTGATTCGCTATCTCCCGTTAATGGAATTATCGACTGTCTGACTATCTCAAAAACAATTCACGCGAAGGGTTAAATATAACGTTCGTCGCCAATCATTCCATCTCGACTGTAGTACATTTCCCAATTGACCCGATCCATCGCATTTAACTTTGAAGACGTCGCACCCCACAAGACGACTTCCTTCCTCAACGGTCGACAGCTCGTTTTATTGCCCGCCATCGCCGCGCCGACCCTTGTGTTCGTTATATACCTCGCGCGTCTTTACGTATCTTCTTCTATCTATTTACGTTTCTCCCACTACACGCTCGCATTTAGATGTTCGGGAAGAATTTATCCAAGAGAGCACGATAAATATTGTTTCTCGCTCTGTCAACGTTAATGGTAGTGAATTTCGTGTCGTTCTCACCCTCTCTCTCTCTCTCTCCCTCTCCCTCTCTCTCTCTCTGCCTTTTTCTCTTTCTTTTCCACCCTCGACGCTCTTTCGGCGGCGATTCGACCGAGGGAAGGACACGAAGGTAGGAGCAACGCGAAGAACGCGAAAAATCGCGCGTAACCCGCCGGGAATGCAAATAAAGCGCAATAAATAGAACGCCGTCGCGATTGCAGTTGCCGGCATGCCGTTGCAGTTGCAACTCTCGCATTCCCCTTTCCGCCGTTCGCGTCACGCAGCGCGCTCGCTTGCCTGCGCCGGCACGAAATCGCCGTTACTCGTGCACGACGGCTTCGCTTAAGCTCGCTGCATGTTCTTTAAACGAAACAGCAATCGTACGTGACGATCAATGGCAAAGTTATTGGCTCCTCGGTGTCGGGCGAGGTCCGAAACGAGCTGTTTTCGCGCTGCGCTCCGCGAACGGAAAATTCGCGCGGCCGGGATCCTGATAATTTCGAGCGATGTGCATCAAGAGCGCGTGTGTCAGTCAGTCGGCGAGTGAACGAGATACGGGAGAAGAGGACGCTCGATTTTCGACGAGAAAAAACGAGCGAAATATGAGAATTGATATCCGACCTGTGTGTTGTTGTTGTTGCGAAAATAATATGGTTGTTGATACTGCAGAGACAGAAATAGCAGGCGTGATATTTATTAAATATTGATGTGTGTTCATGCAATGACGGCGATTAATATAACCCCCCGTCATGAAACTCGAACCGCGTTTCAATCAATTTTGGCTATCTGCTGCGGACATTTTCGAGTATTTAATCCTTTGCTTGCGCACTGAGAAAAAAATACTCGAAAATTTATCTACAAAATGTAAGGTTTGTTTCTGATATACAAAGCTCATTTCTGCAAAATGAACTTTATATCCCGCAAATAAGTTTTCAAGTAATTTTTTCTCAGTCATTCGATCAGTTGACTGACATTTGACTTTTCCTTGTGAAGCTCCATTCAGAAATTTCTTACTTAATAAAGATTGTTATTATTATTTCACGTATAATTCAATACATCTAAGTCTTCGATATATCGTTCGTCTTCAAGAGCTCACACTGCCCACGGAGACAGCAGCGTATAGATCGAGTGAACAAATTAATCAGAGCGGCGAGGGGACAAATTAGAACTCGGGGGCGACCCAGAAACTTGACTTTCACCCCGAAAGCACGCTTGCTTTCCTCACTGAAATAAGTCCTTCAACACCCCGAGGGACGATCCCGAAAATTCGCCGACTCCCCGGCGATTCGCTCGAAAAGTCGGTCACCGTAGTCGAAGCGCAACGGGCGCAGTTGTTTTGCAAGGTCTCTCGTTTAACGGTCGGGGCGCTGGCCATTATTTGCTTGCGAAACAAAGAGGGTTCGTCTACGGCGCGATCCGATTAAAGGAGAGGGTCAAGAGGGAAGAGAGTATTGCAGCGTGCCGAGACGGGCTTTCCCGTTTGCGAAAAACACGCTCAAACGAGCACCTTTACGTCACTTGCATCCGCTGTTTGAACGAGATTGCCGTCGAGCAAGGCCGTCGCTGCCGGATCCGCGGGATTGCAAAATCCGTGTTAATAGCGCGAGTCAATAAAAGCGGACCGTGCTGTCCGCTAAGCATCCGTAATAAGGCCGAGTCTAATCGATACGATTGTGTTCGGGCGCGCGTAGGCGAACACGCGGTTACATACGCCAGACGTAGGAATGTCGCGCGAAAGTCGAAATAGTAGGGGAGATCGGAGTTAGACGTCCTATATTTTAGAATTTCGAAGCTACAACTTCTTAGGCAACTAATTGTTGCGACTGACAGTATAAATATGATAGAAGCAACCTTCTTCTACGTATTAATGCCCGCCACAGCCCTGTTGACGGTATATTTTATTCTGTAGCTAACATGCAGCAATGTGGCTTGCTCTGATTCAGTAGCGCGGGATAAAAGAAGGCCACGTATAAAATATGTATCCTGATTAGTAGTTCTAAAGTCTCCGCAAAAAGAACTTAATTAAAGGCCAACTTTAACTTTACATATGTTTCAACCGTTTTATGAATGAAAATTACATTTATTATCAGAAATAATATATCATACACTTGCAAGAAATTTCATGCTAGTTATTTAATAACACACCTTATTATTTAATAACACCTTATATTCAGTCACGATGGAGAATATTAATTCCGAAAGGTTCGAAGATTTATTTTGCTATTACCAAATCAGTTTTCTTTATTTCTTAACTGTAATATTGTTTCAATTTTAATGAAACTCAGGGAAAAATATTTATGTTCTAAAAAGACCATTTCGCGATTTGTATCCACTATCCCTCTCAACATGAATATTAAAGAAAAGCAACATATCCCTAGATACGTTGCTATATATAGCCTCGGTCTCTCCTAGGTCGACGCAAGAGGTTGTGTTTGTCAAATCAAATAGAAAATAAAATTATCCTATTATGAAGAATCAATGCTCCAGTACTCGCGAGTTTCTGATAAAAGGAAACGTTATGTTGTGAGAGCTACTTTAAAAAAGTTTATGTCAAATAACGTCAGATGTTGGTATTGAATCCAAGGATCCAAATATTTTGCCATCTAATAAAATCTATATAATAAAACTTATTTTAGTATATTACACGCTCTTTCCATTGGTGATATCAGTTTTCTAAAGTAATTCTTAACAACATAATATTTTTGTCCAAACGTCTTTATGACAACAATTTCATTTGACGCGACGCAAAGGAGTTTCGGGTCCATTTTGTCCGATTTTCCTCAAAATTGTAGTGTGACAGACAAATGGGCAATTTGTTTGGGCGGACGTTTGGACAACGGACTCATATCGGTCAAAAATACGTTGGAAATAACTAATCGCACTCGTGATGCAAAAAGAAAGGCCAAAATTTATCGGACAGCGTAATTTTTACGAATATAATGAACAACAATATCGATTCGGCGTTCCTTCAGACACATCTAGTGAGGATCTTCTGTTTCCCTCTTAATGTCGAAACTCCCTACGAGAATTTAATGAAAAAAATGACAAATCTTTTGCAACAACCTGATGCCACCGCTACACATGCAGAGGTCGCCGGATTTCGCGGACGTCCGGTCCACCGCGAAAATTTCGCCGCGAGACCACCGCGTGACGGATGATGCGCTTCGGCGGACACGCGATTAGGTATCAGAACGCACGGACGTGATCCTTTTCTGTCGCGGGCAAATCTCGACGTTGATGTTGTTCCGCGTGCACGCGCGCGCGCGGAGTAATTGAGACAAACAAGCGGCGAACGAAACGAATTTCGGACGCACGTTGTTTCGACGAAGAAGCGTTGCGGTTGCAGTTGCGGTTGCATTGCGGGAAAGTTAGTTTAGCCGGCGCGAGAATATTCGGCCGCGTTTTTTGGGCGTTATAATTGAAGGAACACAACACGGTTTCGGATCGATTCACCGTTTGTTGCGAGTAAAGGCGGGAGTTCTGCGCTTTGTTCGCTTCTCAATGGCACAGAAACGCGCTAGTTGTGTTGTTCCAGTGTCAACTCTTCGTTAGACGCGTAGTTTAAAGGCGTAATTTGAAAGCTGTACAACGATGCATTAAAAACTGTTTACAATAGAGAAAGAGATGTATCTTTGATTAGTGATGCATCAGCTCTCACAGGTGTCTCGAGTCGAAATCTTGGCTCTACTTTTGAATCTTCTAACATCTGTATATTCTGAAAGAGCGGTGTGCATTTAAATATACACACGTTAGAAGATTCAGGTCGAAAGATTTAAGGCTAAGAGACCTGATCACCTGATGATATCGAGATATTTATATAAAGTGTTAAAGTATCATGTATATTAAAATAGCGCAGGGAAAGTTGCGTTGCACGTTCAGCCGGTGGGCATCGTTCCTCCCATATTCGGGCATATCGCGACTGATAAGTTCGGCGTTCTCGCTACATTTTGCTAGAAACTGCTTCAATCTTCCTTTATGTACCAAATACTTCGCTTCCTCGCGATGAGTTTTCTCCTCTTTCTCTCTTATCGCACAAGCTTCTTTGCTGTAACCGTCACAGGGTTACACTGTTATCTGGGGAAAGAGGGAAGAGAAGCGAAGGGAAAGAGAAGGATAGAGAGGGAAAGAGAAGAAGAGAGAGAGAGAGAGCGAGCAAAAGACACCCACACTACGCTACGTCGCTAGTCTCCGGCATCCGATGCACCGTAAAACGTGTCCGGGGGTGGCAAAGCTCACGGACCCCCGGAAAGTTACGAGCTCGGAAATAATTTGATAAAGTCCGACGGGTCGGGTCGCCGGTTCGGTCAGATAAATCAACGTAACTGGCAGGAGCGATACCTTGAAGAAGATCCCCAGGTAGTATCTCTTCTCGCCCAGCTTCAGCAGCGGCATCGTCCATCTTGAGGCCGCCAAGCTGCTGCTGTGCTCGTCCACGCAGTTCGGACAGTCGTCTGCGAATGAAACGAAAAGGTACATTTGGTTTTTCCTCTTTTTTCCGCAACGAAGAGAGGCTATTAATATCGATACGCGTGTCTGAGCGGAAGGGACGGTGAAAGTCAATTGAAACAGAGCACAAGATCGACCTCCGAGCCGACAGAAAGGAGGATTTAGGTTGCAAGTAAGAATACATTCCTCTAACACATAAAGGGTAGACCGGGGCTAGTACCTTACGTTTTAGAATTTTAAAGTTACATTTTTTCAGGCAATTAATTGCTATATAAACATGATAGAGGTAATCTTCTTCTATACATTAATGCCCGCCACGACCTTGTTAATCGTTAAAGTTTTATTTTACAGTAATTTACTATAAATTTATCATTATTTAAGTTTCTTCAAAATACTAGTGAGTTTAGTATTTCAATCAAGAATATTACATTAAAACTCGGTTTGTTCATGATTTTATAATATGCTTATACAAGGAAATTAAATTCTCTCATTTTGAATACATAATAATGAGTTATTCTCAAATACAAACATGCAGCAATTTAGCCAATTCAGTTCAGTTGCTCAATAGCGCGGAATAAAAAAGGCCACGTATAAAATGTGTATCTTAATTAGTAGTTCTAAAATCTCCGCGAGAAGTCTTAATTATAGGACAACTTTACCTTTACTCATACTCTGTTTCAGTTATTTTATAAACGAGAATTGTATTTATTATCTGAAACAGTATATCATATATGTTTACAAGAAATTTCATTTTAACTAGACATTTCGACGATAATTTCATGACATTAATAAATTTCGACGTCGGTTTTTGCGCGGCAAAGATCGGAAGTAAGGTCGCACCGTGTAGATTTCGATTCACTATCGTTTGCGCAACGTCAGCTTTCTCGAATCTCTTCTCATTTGATATCCATAAATTAACTCGCGCCGCGGAGCGAGTCATTACCATCTGCTTTCGAGGTGCGCCCAAAAAAGCAAATCTCTGCAAACGTTTCGCCTCTCTCTCGCGGATCATCTCCCACTCCGGTGCAAAAATTGTACCGACATCCTGTTTACCGTGGAGAGATTTATCGGTTTAGACGTTGCGTAAACGTTCGCGTCCAACGCGCGTAACGGGAATGCGACGCGTCAGCTTACGACGAAGAAACTGCGAATTCGCCCGAGCGCGAGTCAAATCACGCGTTCAGGAAAATAATAACGTCAGCCTCGCGCAATCTCTTCCGGCAGTTTCACATGTTCGATACCCCGGCGTCACATATGTATGACGGCTCTTCTTTCTCTGTGTCCACATTATCAAACTGTGTTTACAGAGAAGGGACACACGAGGTTTTGTATGACATAAGGGAGAAATACGAGGTGGTCTCTGCGGGGAGAGGCTCCCTAGTAAATCCTGGCAGCGAGCGCGCTGAAAAGAGGCATCGAGTTGTTTTCAATCGCGCTAATGCGCGTCTCGTGTTTCCCGCACAAATACAGATTAAAACAAATACATTTAGGGGGTGGATTTCAAATGTATATTTGACTGAAAAATATACCAGAAGAGTGCGTATCTACGCGACTAGCGCGCCGGAGCGTGGAATATTCGTGGAACTTGCGGCATCGCTCTCGGGAGCAGCGCGCGACATTCAATTCGCGGCGTAATGAACTTTCGCCGCCGCAACGGAGTCGAAAATCGCGCGTCTAATCGCAGAAAGAAACGGAGAGGCACGGAGTGAAATTCCAACGGTCTTTTCCCTCTTCGGTCTGACGATCGATGCCTTTTTAATCGTCGGTGTAATCGGTTTCTCCGACCGCGCGCGCGCGTGTACTAGGAAATTGCAGCTCGGGCGACCAAGGACTTCGGCGGTTGCAATTACGCAACGCGGAACAGACAACGCGTGTGTGTAAGTGCGTGCGTGCGTGCGTGCATGTGCGTGCGTGCGTGCATGTGCGTGCCACCCGTATGCGGTCGCCTCGTTTGTGCATTCGCGTGAAGCGTCGTTGACGTTCGCAACGCGACGACGAAAATATCTCGCTATTTGCGGAGACGCGAGAATGAGACTCGATCGTGACAAATTGCGGTGTGTCTGTGCGGCGCAACCGTGCGGTGAGCGCGGAAGTGGTCGCGCTTTCTTTTCAGGGAAAGTATGGGCATAATTATACGCGCAGAACGCGATACGCGACCGGACTTTTGCAATGTTGTCGTGTTGAAACGTAATATGTGTACAACGACGTGTGTATCGCGTGTGACACGCTGATTAATATCAGACTGAAAATAACGAATATATTAATTTTACGAATATATATTTTACGAATATATTGTAACATTAATTAATTATTATTGTTGTAACATTAATATAATTGTAACATTGCAACATTAACATAGAAAGATTGATATGCGTGTATAAATTATGAAATCTTTTGAACCAGAGAAGATATTGTAGTAAAAATTACAATGCAATTTTAGTAGTCCGGGAATAGACTGGCATTACGAGGAAAATTATAATGAGGCATAATAAAAGTGACCATGAATATAGTAAAAATTATTTGTTATTAAATTTAGTAAAAATTATCATGTTTATGGTCACTTTTACTATGGTTTTATTATAATTTTCGTAATAGTGTCAGTCTATTCTCGGAATACTGAAATTGTATCGTAATTTTTACTGCAATATTCTTTCCGTGTATTCTCTTTTAATCCTGTAAAGTGCTTTAAACGTGAGTAAAATTTAGCCGGGCAAACTTTTCAAACTGTTCCTAAAAACATGTGTTTTATTTCTCCAGTATTGTTTTTTCAAATTCACCGAATAGCAAAAACATTAATAGATTTATATTCCTCGATGTTTTTTACACCGACTAAAAAAGGATTAAATTTCAATAATTTTTTCGAAAACTGTGAGCAAATGAAAACGTGTTGAAGAAAATTTATCCACGTTTAGGATATATGTACGTAACTTTTTGATGCGATTGAAGCAGTAAAAAGAGTATTTCAGCAATGATCAGTAAGTATACACTGAAGAATGCATATTGCATTCTAGTAAATATTGCTTGTTCCAAATATTTCATAAGTATATTTTCAGATTAGTTTTAAAAAAATACTCTTTGTTGATAATAACCATTATTTGAAAGAAGGAAAGCAAACCGAGTAATGGCTGTCCTTAATAATAGAATGAAGTTCTTTTGTGTGTACTACTGATTGATCCTTTCAGTGAAATTTTACTGATTACAGTGTTATACTTGTGACTGAATCAGCAATAATAAGTTTAGCATTTCTGCAAAGAACACACTGATTGTATTTTTAAGAGTAATCAAGTTGCAAGATATTTGATTGCAAGGATGGAGCACAGATTTTTAAACCCTTCGTTCGGGCCGTCGCGTGTTTCCTGGTATGCAAATCCTTTTCACTCGAGTTGTCATTGTTGCGAGGTATCGCGCTCGTGAATTAAACATCGGCCGTATAAGCGACGTAACAGAAGTAGTACGGTACTACCCACGCAAATGAATTTGAAATTCGATTGATGGTGATGCGGCACAGCGGGTGAGATCTCACACAGATGGCCCGTCGTGCCATCGCGTAAGCGAGTTTCAGGCATCCTAGTAACCTTGATCGCAAATACGGATTACAAGGATACAAATGGCGCTTTGTATCCCCCCACGTGGCGGCCGCTTTCACCGGCTCGCGCGCCTCTCGATACGATCCCGTTCGAAAGTTGCCTCCACGACATTGCTGCCCGGAGATGGGCCAAGATGAAATCTAGAACGTTGTTTTCATTACGACGCTGGGCGGTGGCCGAAAGCAATTAAAATTGCAGCTGCAGTCACGGATTGTTTGACTGCATAAGACCAGAAATCCTGAAGCAAGGTCCATATTTTGGTTATTACGAAACAAAATATATGATTAACAGAGTCGTGGTCATAGAAGAAGGTTACTTCTATCATGTTTATATAATCAGTCGTAACAGTTGTCTGAGAAGTTGTTTAGAAATTCTAAAATGTAGGGCATCTAGCCTCGGTCTTCCCTAAACAGCAATGTAAAAGATTTCTTGAACGAACCATTCTTGAAAATTTTACCAATAAAATACCACTTGCACCTTTTCCTTTCGATTTCTCTCAAATAATCTTGTCGTTAAAGAAGAACAATGTCCCTCGACACCGTCGTTAATAATTACCAAGCGAAAATGGAATAAATGGTCTCGCGAAACGCGGATAAATCGAGGGATTCCTGAAGAAACGGTTACCGCTGTTCACGTCCTCTTTCATCCTTTTTACAAAATGTTCTTTACCGAAGAACACAAAGACGCTGAGGAGTTGAGAACGCTGCGCGAAAATGGCGTTATTGCGTCACGAGAATGCGAGTCACGGAAGTCTCCGTCGCCGCCGCCGGTGTACGGAGGATGTATGCGATGCCGTACGTAATCTCGCGTGCGTTTGCTTTGCCGCCGCTGTGCGGTGGAGGCTGTAAGGTTGAGTTACAACGGTTACACGAGCGGTTGCGTAAACCGCGGCTTGCCGCGCGTCTCGTCAGCCGCGAACTTTCGGCGACGCTGCCGTCGGCTCTCCCTCTGCCTGCTTGCCCGTCTGCCGACGACGACGACGACGAAATTTCCCCGGCAGGGTTCGTTTGCTACCAACGCACGGCGACGACACCGCTTGCGTTGCACCGCTAATTGTCGCGGTAAATGAGCTGCACTCGCGTCGCTCTTCTCTCGCACGCGAATCGTTTTTTCGCTCGTTCTCTTACACCGCGCCGCGTGTTAATCTCATTGTTGTTAACGAAATTCGTCGCTGTACCACACTCCCGCCCGACATTTCATACACAGAAAAAGAGAATATTCTTGTTTAGAGAATGTATTTATTGTTGGAATTTTAAAAATAGGATTTTAATGTTAAAATGGCATTATATACCATTTTTTTTATTATTTATTATATTATAATATATTATTTATTATATTACACTATATTATATTATATTATTTTTTATTATTTATTAATTATATTTATTAAGAAATACAAAACATTAGTTTTTTTACGA